TCAATTTAAATCTCCGAACTTCTGAAGCTGAGATATTCTATGAATGTAGGCTTGTATCGCAGGCTACAATTTAAAAACGGGTGACCAAATAATGAATTAGGTGCTAAATTTTGATTTAATGCTAGGTAGGCCCTAAGTTAAAAACATACATTCTTCCGTCCGAGTGGGACTCATTCAAAAATTCTACGGGGTTCGCTAGAAAAGGGGGTTCGCCCGAACCATAAAAAACCCCTGGCTACGGGCCTGAGCAGTAACAGTAGCAGTAGCAGTAACAGTAGTAGTAGCAGTAAAAGTAGTAGTAGCAGTAACAGTAGTAGTAGCAGTAACAGTAGTAGTAGCAGTAACAGCAGCAGTAGGTAGTAGTATATTTGGTATCATATCATTACAGTATTATTTTTATTGTCCTTACCCGGCCTACTTGGCTTTCAAATCGATAACAGTTGGATATAGCACCTCCCTGGTTAGAGTCGTAGAAAAGTGTATGTTAAAATTTTAATGAAGTCGTATATTATTATTATTATTATTAGATGTTGAATTAATCGGATCATTATTCATTCAACGACTTGCTCCTTGAATGCATATCCTTTAGTGACTATACAATAAACAACAAATACACCGGAAAGAAGAATATCATTAATATGATTGGCTACCACGGCTATGACGATAAATTACGATCGACATTGCGTCCCTTTCCCTCTATCCACACTCGAATTATATAGTCCTACGGCAGTTTTCTTATGGGTTGTGATCCATGTTTGTGTTGTACGGATCAATTGCCGAACATTAGGAGTAAGTCTTTTTAAATGTTTTTATTGCCGTAGCCTTTGCTTACAATAACCTCACAGCATAACTTACGTCAAACTACTGAGTTTTCATGTTGTATTGCACAACAGAGCTTGTCATTAATACCGTTGGTCAATGGCAAACCTGGTACTGACGAAAGGGAATTTGATGTTCAACTTCAAACATATGACGCTGATGCTTTAGAGAGGCTAGGTAGTTAACTTTCAGTGTTTATATATGTAGTTTCAAACATACGGATCCATGATGTTTTGGCCGGGCTTAGGAGGAATGGCCTCTATGCGCCAATAGAGTAAACGTATGGGGGAGGTTTTGGCAGTGCCACCGAGAGGGGATAGTAGGGGAAAGATCCCCGGGCCCAAGCTTGCCGGGGCTCATACCGAGGGCCCATTTTTTTCAATATTTTTTTTTTCAAAAGTAATAATTATTATCATGCGCCCTAAATAATGGCATGGGTCTCCTAATAATGGGCTATACACATCT